TTTCACTATACGTTGGATCTAAGTACGACATGTTATTTTAGTGCGATGTTATATGTTATTAGTTATTGCTCATATGATAGATGAGATTTGATATAATTTATAAATGCACTAGCGTGGGAAACACGCGATAAAAATAGTGAATTTTAGTAGGAAATGTTATTTTAGTGCGATGTTATATGTTATTAGTTATTGCTCATATGATAGATGAGATTTGATATAATTTATAAATGCACTAGCGTGGGAAACACGTGATAAAAATTAGTAGGAAAGAGACATGAATGATGCAGCGAATCAAAAATCAGCCTTATGAACCAAAATCAAGTACCTGTTACCTTGTGAAACAATATTGTTTTTGGTAATATGATGATGTGGAGTAAGTTTGATAGAAACCGAATTCCAGAAAATCTAATAAAAAATCGCCTATCCCGCCGGTTTTCGGGAAATGAGCATCTCACAATCGTTGCTAGCTTTTACTCGGCCCGTTGGCCGATTAATTTGCTTTATAAAACTTTCATCTTGTCATCATTGTGCTTTCTGGTTTTTTGCCAAGACATGATAAAATCTAAAGAAATCAAGAATGAACAACACGATTTGGGATAAGAACCACCGTTCCTGTATCCCTAGAAAATGGTGGTAAACACGGACTCACCTGCCAAACTTGTTTGGATTGAGATTTTTATCGGGTATCAGGGAACCATGTGATTATAAATTAGACTTGATCAAAACGGGCCAAAACTTGAAATTCAGTCTGTTTGACCGACCCATGCCAAACTCTAATTATTTTTTACTTTTAAACTTTCTATTTGAAAATAAAAAATAATGAAAGAAAAGAGATGACTGTAATTCGCCATTTGCACATCACTGATTCGAGAATAAAACTATAGAATTTTGAAAGGAAACTGAAAATGTTTAGGATCGTTTTAATGTTAAAAATAACCAAATAGATCTTTCTGTTTAGTTTTTTACTAACAAATACCAAACGATTCCCTATAATATACACTATAATTTAATCATTATGATATCAAATAATTACATAATATATATTTGAAATGATAAAAATTGGACTAATTGGGTTGGTCGAGGTTGAACCATTGAATAACTTTAAAATACATTATATTTTAGCCACTAAGATATAAAATAATAGCATAATATATATTATGCTAGAGAAAATAGCTTGTTTTAGAATGACAAACCCATGATGTTCATTTGTTTTACTTGATTGGCAAATCCCGTGTAGGTCAGCCCATTCAACTCTTTTATTTTATGATTAGCGGTTAGCCCATTAGAATCCATGCAGTAGTTTATTGTTAATTTTTTTTTTCTTTTTAGCAATAAAAAGGAGTATTGTTTTTGCCTTTTCATATATATTTTACAACCACGGAGAAATAAAAGGACTCAAAGAAAAAAATTGACACTCCTAGACCCGTTTAAATCTGCATGTGTACGGTAAGTTGGCCCGTTCCACAGAGGAAAAGGAAAAAAATTGACACTCCATATTCTACCCTTCCTACAAACGCTCATGGGGCAGAGAATTTGAAATGGGGGAAGGGTTTTTTCCTCTCTGCGATTATATGTTTTTAATTAAAAAAAATACAATAAATATACTTAGTGTGATTGGTTATGATTTTTGCTTTTCTTTAAAGTGGTCATGATTCGAATCCTAGTAAGTGTCTTTTTAATGAATAAAAAAAGTAATTGTGAAGACCAAAATGTCCTTCCTACTTTCACTCTGGATGCAGGAAATTTGAAATGGGACTTCAAGTTTTCTCATTTGGCTTTTATTTATTGTGTAGATGAACAATATAATGACTTTTTTCATATACTCGCACTAAAGCGGTTGAACCATTAATCCTCAATCCAGTTACTCGAACGGGCCAATGGGCTAAACCAGATTGACAACCTTGGTAAACATATATGATATACTATAGTATCAATTCTGTTGTGATTAATATCAAGAATGGAAAATGACATTCGATTTTTTAATATTATAATTAAATAGAATTTGTTTCAATGGTTAGATACATTAAGAAAATTCATTGTAGCACCCATGTAGGGTCTAATTGTATACATTTTACCCCTCATTTCTTAATAGTTTGACTGTGCATTTCATCGTCTCTCGACTTATTTTACGCTAGGTTGTGCTATTTTTTATACATTTCAGGTCCTAGCATGTGTTGGAAGGTCGAGGACGAGTTTTAGGATGATTGGAGTCGATAAAGCGCCAAAAAGTGAAGTAAAGTGAAGGACAGTCCAAGGTCACGGGCAGAGGTCAAATGTCACGGTCACCTGACCGTGACAATTGATCAGAGGGCATGACAGTTCAAGGTCAAGGGCAGGGGTCAAATGTCACGGTCACCAGACTGTGACAATTGATCATTGGGTGTGAAGTCTGATGGAAACATGATGTTTTGCGCACCTCACTGGACCTCGGTGTGTTCACAGTCTGATGATCGTGAAAATCATCCCTAGGCCGTGATGTGGACCCAAAACGACACCAGAGATCGACATGCGCTTTGGTCTATTGTCACGGCCATGACTTCTGACCGTGAAAAGTGTCTATCAGACTCTATAAATAAAAAGGCTATTGGGAGAGAGAAAGAGAGCTTTTATAGGGTTTTAGTTTTCAGAATAAGGGAGGTTTTCTAGTGAGAGATTAGGGTTTCTTCTTTCTATTTTAGAGAGAGAAAGTGCCATTCAAAGAAGGAGGAAGGAGATTTGGGCTTGTCCTAAGCTAGAGGAGCGAAGATTCTTACCTCTCAAGGGAGATTCAGGCAACAAGGAAGGAAGATTGTCATATCTTCATGGTATTTCTCTTCTTTTTCTTGTTTTCCCTTGCCTAGCTATGGAATAGCCTCCATACTCACTTGGGTATTGTGAATCCTAGTCTAGATGTGTGTTAGGATGTAAGAACTTGATTCTATTATGTTGATTGAATGTTTATATAATATTTGAGGTACTTTCATGAATGATTGAATGTGCTAGCTTTAACTCATGATTGAGTCGTTTTGACCTAGGTGGAGAGAATCTCCTTGTTGAAAGAGGCTTTGAGAAGTTGGATTCTGGGCCAATTTGTGTCACCCACGACAAATTAGGACAAACCTTAAATTAATCATGATTAGTGAATGTTGTTTGCATTATATCACTGTTGAGTCAAAATTAACCTAGAGGGTGAAAATCTCCCTTTGGCCCATAGGGAGCTTGACCTCCTAGTCTCTTGGATAACCCCTTCTAGGTTAATCTAGGGCCAAAACCTCAAGAATCAGATTAGAACATGATCCCACCATGATTGGTTTCTCGCCATCGTTTGGATTAAGTTCTGAGAGATTGGTTCGCAATCCTTAGTCAACCGATTTAGAGGGGCTAGATCGTCTAGCCTAGAGTTGCAATCCTTAACCGAAAGGTTAAGAGAGTTAGACCACTAACTTGATGCAACAATCCTAGGTTGGTCAACTAAGAGAGTTAGGGTTTTGTCGGTTGATCAGTTAAGAGAGCTAGATTCCCAAGCTTCTTGTCACAAACCTTAATCGATCAACTAGGAGAGTTTGCCCCTAGATAGTTGGACCCACCTTACGGTATATGAACACATCCTTCACACTAGAGTTTCGTTCATGCTTTCTTAATACAAAGACTAGGGGAAGCAATAACCAAGTGAAGTCCTCTCATATAGAATTCTCCTCGATTTACTTTCCGTATTTGTTTATTTTGTAGTTTTTTTATTTTTAAACCCAAAACTATTTTCTAGATAACAACCTAAGCGATTGAAGTAGGGATACATGGACCGGCACGAGTTGACAACTTAAATACTTGTCATATAATGCACCCGACTAGAGTTTAAAAACTTGGACTCTAGCCGGAATTAATTCACGGTGTAGTCCAAGCGAGTCAACGTGCAAATTATTAATTCCAATCCCACTAATCACTATTTATATGATTAGTGGACCGGCACGAGTTGACAACTTAAATACTTGTCATACAATGCACCCGACTAGAGTTTAAAAACTTGGACTCTAGCCGGAATTAATTCACGGTGTAGTCCAAGCGAGTCAACGTGCAAATTATTAATTCCAATCCCACTAATCACTATTTATATGATTAGTTACTTTTACTTGCCGTAAAACTTAAAAAAATTTAAATAACTGAAATAATAAAATGACATGAAAATTAGACTGATGTGAATGTTTAAAATTTATAAATGTTTATTATTTATAAATTTTAATTTGAGAAAATACTTATTATATTCTATTAATTAACTATAATAAAAAAAAAAATAAACATCATTCCCTGTAGTCTGTAGGGATGACAAAAATATCCGTAACCGTGGATATCCGCCCGAATCCGACCTAATCGGGTAGGGTAAAACCTGAACCCGAAGGACTTTTAGTGGGTACGGGTAAAACCCGAACCCGAATATTGCGGGTAGTGAGTGGGCATGGTTTTCTCACTATCCAACCCGAACCCGCCCGATTATACACATGCATATGTATTATGTCTAGAAATAATCAATATTTTTCTCTAACATACTTTACATTTAGCATATAAATATAATTTTGTTTATGAAATTATGTTGTTTTAATTAATTTTCTTCATTCTAGTGAATTATTGTCGTACTTTTCGTCTTACGTAACGTGAGAATACGTGTAAATATTAACATATTGGTTGGAGTTATAAAGAAAAACTATTATCCATGGATAACCATGGATACCCGAAACCCGAATGGGTATGGGCATGGTTTGGATTTTCTACCCGTTTTTTATGTGGGTATGAGTATGGGTAAAACCCGAACTACTTTGAGTAGGATAACGGATATGCACTATCCGTCCCCGACCCGACCCGACCCATTGCCATTGCCATTGCCATTGCCATTGCCATTGCCATCCCTAGTAGTCTGTAGTCTGTACTCCTACCAACCAAAACCCATCCAAGGTCCGACCAAACACCTCCCTCCTTCCTTACGCATCTTTCCTACCCTACTCCCAGCTTTTCAGAAACAAAGGAAGAAAAAAAAAAGGGCCACAATCCATAATAGAGAACAAATATCTGAAGAGAGAAAATCAGAGAAATACGAAAGAACGAATCTCCTCTCTCCGCCTCTCTCTTTCAGAGCTGAGCTGCAAATACCTCCCCAATCACCGACTCTTTCGTTTTCTTTCCACTTCCCGGGAAAGTTTCTCTGCAACTGTAAGTGCTCTCATGACGATCCGAATCTCAGTCGAATCTAAATCTTCATCTCTTTCTTTCCGCCGTTTAACGAGGCTCATCACTGTCTTCGTTTCTTCGTTGATTTCTGGCAATAGACTGATCTAGCAAGAGAGGAAACACAGGTGACAATGTGGGGGATCGTTGGACAAAGAGCTTGCCGCCATGGCTCCTCCGCTATGGTATTTGTTACATATTTGTTCGCTTGGCGCTTGTATTATACTGCCTTCTTGCCCTTCGCCTTGATTCCTTAGGGTTTTTTTTTTCTTTCATTCTCTTTCTCATGTTTCTTCACGTTTGATTGGATCAGTCACTGCAAGTGACTCGCCCTGTTATTCACGCGTTGAGGAGTTTCTCCACCGCAGCAAAAGAGGTAACAAACTTCTCTTCCCCCGGATTCTGGTTTTTGTGTGTTGGCACTATGTTAATCGGGAATCTGTCATGGGGACGCACTTCTTTTCATATGCCATTGGTTATGATGGATTTTTCAGAATTTAAGGTGTATGTATTCATCTGCTACCTGCTTTGTGAATCGAGACTCAATTAGGGTTAATTTTGGTGCTGGGGTTGGTATATGTTTGTCGGCTGTTTTCTTATTCGTCGAAGGCTAATACTCCTTAGACATCATGCTGAACAATGGTTGATGATGAGTCTTGACCTCTGTTTTTCTGGACCCCTTGAAGCCTCTGGATATGCTAACCTTTGAAGTGATAGTTTTCCTGCTATGCATTTTCTTTCTTCCCGGGAGTCATTAAAAATCTTCGTACAAGGATCTCTACTATTTGCTTTGAGCTTTACTTAATTTATGATACTTCCCTTTCTCTTTCTACTCCTTGCTAGTTATATGTAGGGCCCAGCTTCTCCACGTTTCGTGACCATCGCACTTTAGATTAGCGGATTGAGTTCCTCGTTACGGTTTATCAGTTTTCTTCTGAACTTCTCAGATGACAGTAAGGGATGCTCTCAATTCTGCCATTGATGAAGAAATGTCTGCGGATCCCAAAGTCTTTTTGATGGGAGAGGAGGTAAATCTAACACCTGCAATTTGTGGATCGTTAAACATTTTAAGCCAATCACAAAGATGTATCTTTATTTATTTTATGTGATGTTTGTGTAGGTTGGAGAGTATCAAGGTGCATACAAGGTTAGATAAACTTCTCTTCTTTGATTAAGTTACGTTGTAGTAGTCTTATACTCAGAGCATCACAGTTATCTCATTGATCCATTAGTTATCTACTTATGGGAAATTGTTTATCAGATCACTAAAGGCCTCTTGGAGAAGTATGGTCCTGACAGAGTTCTTGATACTCCAATTACCGAGGTTGTTACTTGGACTCTATAGAGTAGAAAAGGCTGGCATTCTTTTGTGGTGTTTTTATTTATTTATTTTTTGCTTCAAGGGGGCTCAATAAGAGATCTCGGATCGAATCGGTATATCAATAGAAAACGATCTTCACTTGCTCCTCTCTTTAAACCTAGGCTGGCTTTACTGGTATTGGAGTTGGTGCAGCTTATCATGGGCTTAAGCCCATTGTAGAGTTCATGACATTCAACTTCTCCATGCAGGTAAAATTGTCTTTCTTTTAGTTGCGCTTTTTTAATTGGTGGAGAAAAATAGCTGTGTTTTTATCTTGTATGTATGGATATTTGTTATTTTTAGTCTCAAGCTTCTTTGGTTCCCTTCAATTGACTGATCAAATTTATTAATACATGGCATATTTTGTGATTTGACTTCGTCCCCCCCTCTCTTTTGTAGCACCGCCTGGCATTATCCTTTCTAGTAAATGCTGGTTCTTGTTGCTTGCTCTTGGTGTTATTCAAGAAGTTTAACTCATCCCAATTTTTTCCAGGCTATTGATCATATAATCAATTCTGCTGCAAAATCAAATTACATGTCTGCTGGGCAGATTTCTGTCCCTATAGTCTTCAGGGGTCCAAATGGTGCTGCTGCTGGAGTGGGTGCTCAGCATTCGCAGGTGATTTACTAATGTTAATTTTTTTATGGTTTTATGACTCTTGTATCTTTACTTCGAATGCAAATGGTGGATCTTTCAGTGACCATTTGGATATCTAGTGATTGTGTAATTTAGTGAAGTTCACGAGGATGAAGCATTACGAACCCATGTCAAGATAGTACTACTTACTGGGTTCTGTTGTTAAAGAAGGTGGCCCTGTTTGTTGTCTTAATATAATAAAGTTGTGATGGTGATTTGGATGGTTAACAATGCTGCTGGAACTATTTTCACGATTTTAGTTTATTCTCTTTGGAAGAGTGACCATGCCCAGCTTAAGTTAATACCTTCCAAGTGTGTTCTCGTGAATGCCTAACAATACAACTTTATAATTGGCTATTAGAGGCCAATAGAGTTTCAGAGGCCCTTATGCAGCGCGTTTAACCTCTTAATTAGGATGATTACTCATTTGATTTGCTCTTGAAATTTCCGTGTGCCTGGCAAACAAGCTCCTGGCCCCCTTACAAATTCCAATTCATGTATGCAGTGTTATGCACCATGGTTTGCTTCCTGTCCTGGCCTGAAGGTCCTTGCTCCATATTCTTCAGAAGATGCTCGCGGCCTTATGAAGGCTGCTATTAGAGATCCAGATCCAGTTGTCTTCCTAGAAAATGAGCTCTTGTGAGTATTCTATTATTCATGGCGTTTTACGTAAGTGCTGTACTTGGTCGTTAGTTGCTCATGTTATTCCAGAGTCATGATTATGCTTGGTCTTGAATTCATCATGTAGGTACGGAGAGTCGTTTCCAGTTTCAGCTGAAGTTCTTGATTCCAGTTTCTGTCTTCCCATAGGCAAAGCTAAGGTACATGTTTTAACGATTGTTTTTTACATCCCCTTTTCCTTATTTATCTTTTCTTTGGGTAGCCGTACTACCTTCTTATCTAGATGAGTATTAATTCTGTATTAATTGTACTTGTTGATTAGATTGAAAGAGAAGGCAAGGATGTAACCATTACTGCTTTCTCAAAGATGGTCGGATATGCTCTCAAGGTATGCTGTTCGTGTCTGTGGTAAGGTATAAGTACATAATTTGAATTGATGCAGGCATGACAAGAGGTGAGGGTGACTTCAAATGTTGCGTTATTTGATCACACTTGCTGCCGTATGGACCACTGGACATGTATCTTTTCTAATTCATCCTGTGCATTGTGTAGGCTGCTGAAATTCTTTCTAAAGAAGGGATAAGTGCAGAGGTAATTTTCACTCTGCTTTCTACAACTAAGTATATTGCAATTTTTTTGTCTTGTGAAAAATAGTTAGTGCTTGAAACACATGCAGGTTATAAATCTGCGATCTATTCGTCCCCTTGATAGAGCCACGATCAACAACTCTGTCAGGAAAACTAACAGACTGGTTACTGTTGAAGAAGGATTTCCTCAACATGGAATTGGTGCTGAGATATGGTAAATCTATCCTTGGACTAATTCTCGTGGCCAGCCAACCTAGAATCCATCTTTGTGTTTTTATTAAAAACCCATTGTGCGACTCCTTTGCAACAGTGCATCAGTGGTTGAGGATAGCTTTGAATATCTTGATGCGGCCATTGAGAGGATTGCAGGAGCTGATGTTCCCATGCCATATGCCGCAAACCTAGAGAGACTGGCTGTCCCACAGGTTCGTGATCATACATACTCTACTTTTGGCTGTTAAGTGCCGTGATTTCATCCTCCTTGAAGTACAAAATAGAATTACACCCCGCTCACTACTTTACAGGTTGAAGATATTGTCCGTGCTGCCAAGAGGACTTGCTATCGATCATCTTCATTGGCTGCAACAGCATAGTTTGCTGCAGAACCCCAGCAGCATAATTTGACTTGTCTTTTTCGGCGAACATGACTGTTATTCGTTTCCCAGTCTGCATGGGGCCAAAGGTTAGGCAGCAATCACCATATGGACTGGCTTAGCGGATCCACTCTCATGGTGGACCACAGTGATGAATATAAAGGCACCTCTTTTCCCCAAGAAAATAAAGAGTTCACCACACACCATTTTTCAGCAACTTATACCCCAGAATGATTGATTGGTTGATTGATTTGCATAGCTGTACTAGTTTCCAGGATCGAACTGTTCGCCTATCTTGTTAGCTTTCATTTGTGATGTGCAAAAGGTCTCTCTATTATCACAAGCTCGAGAAGTTGCTGGTGCATTCTTCATGGCTGATAAGTGACGACTGTACAACTAAATAAACTAAGTACAGGCCAAAAATTTATACACAAAAGCACTAGGTGCTGGTGCATTGTTCAGGGCGCTTCGACACCAATATGCTTTATCGGATTGGTGTACAAAACCAAATTGAGCAAATTAACAGAGGAATCCTCCCGCAAGAGAAGGGAGAACTGCAATAGCTAATCCTCGCTTTATCTATCTACCTACCTGTCTGCCTACGGCTCCCAAAATTCTCCGACTTGCATTTGAACAACAGATCCATTGATAGCCCTATTGTTGAACCATTAAACGGACGAAGGAACTTCCTCGATGGGCCTATCTGGGCACTACCATCCTTGCTGTTTCTCCTCCTCCTGGAAGAACCTCCAGAGCTACCAACACTTTTAGTAGATGTCGATGATGCATTTGAAGTAAACACCGACGAGCTGAAAGATGTTTTGGGCATCCCATCATCCACCAAACGACTGTCCTCCAACTTCTCCGTCCTGGTGTGGAGGTGGGAACTTCTCGCTTTTGCTCTTAGCATTTGCTTGCGTCACAAGCCTCCATCTCTGCAATACCACAAAACAGAATTAGAGGAGAGGAAAAGACAGTGAACGAGACGGCCAGCTGAGGGGGAACTCTTTTTACATACATCTACGTTTGCTGGAATCTCAGCATTAGCCTCAGGGGCCGGGACAGCACGACCAGGCCGATTTCGAACTTTTCTGGCACCTTCAGCACCATCATTATCTTTACCACTAAGTCCCCTTTGTCTATTAGCCAATCGTTATCATCAGCATATGCAGCAAACAAAAATATGATGACGATGAAAAGAATTTACAGTCTGCTGCTAGCTAACCTTCTTGCTTCTTCATCCCTCAATTTCACATCCAGTTCCTTGCTAGGCGGATAAATGGGCAAACTACATGGCTAGCAAGCAACAGGTTCTGTGCTAAAGAACTGTACACAGATGAATCGTTGCATGTTATACGTCATATACCATGCCCCATATAATTTTATCTGACAAAAAAGAACTTCTCATTTATACTAAGCAATAAAACTGACATGATGGTATCAACCTAGACATCTACTACTTCACATTACTGACAATTAATATACTTGAACGCAAACACTTCCACTTGGTATCAGAATATCGAGTTGGTATATGACACTCGCCTCACTAGTCACTATTGAGAGCAGAAGTGGCAGTGCCTCGTTCCTCTGGGTCTATCGAAAGCAAAGTCTGAATCAAAGGCATGGAAAGTGTGGCATTAGGTAATTTTGCCTTCTTCCAGTATTCCTCAGATGGTGAGCCACATAACTTAAATATCTTGTGCAGTTGTTCAATCTGTGTGTGCCAAAAGAAGAAGGAATGTCAATTTTCCAGCTGCTACAGCGCCACGCATATCAGAAACTGAATCCCATCCCATATCGTTCTGGCCATCAAGTCATGATATGTGATTCATAAACAGTTCAAAGCTTAACTTAGCAGATATCATATGTGCACGAAGATTGCAATAACTTTTCACAAGACTTCAATGAATACGTATTTATCCAAGTCAAAGGTGTCAGTATCCCCTACAACGGCTACTTGTAGAGACTAGCTGATATGCTAACCAAAGAGAAACCAATACCTCGGTCCGGCCAGACATGATTAGCTTCTTGGCAAGCAGCTCAGCCAAAATGCGGCCAGCACTCCAAAGGTCAACGCCAACCCCATAACAAGTTGCTCCTAGAAGAAGCTCTGGAGGTCGATCCCACAGGGTAACAACTCGACTAGTCATGATAACCCTGCTTCCAGGATCATAGAATGTAGCTAGACCGAAATCAGCAATTTTCAGTACACCCTCGTTATTAATGAGGAGATTAGAACCCTTGATGTCACGATGCAGTACACCATGACTGTGACAGTGTTCAAGCCCCGACAGCAACTGCTTAGTATAGCATTTTATCTGTCAAAACAAATACGGTGAAGTAACCCGACATTGAACATCACAGCAGATAAACATATACATATAGAAGAAATGAGAATACATGTGGCTCACTGAACTTGACTCCCTGGCGAGCAGCAAGGCCAGTTAAATCATGGTCCATGTACTCGAAGACCAAGTACAAGCTACAAGACATTCTTGAGGTAACCAAACCCTCAAGCTTGAGCACATTTGGATGATCCAACCTGCGGAGAACAAGAATCCCTCGCGCCATAAATTTCACACTCTCCGGCTCCAAGTTATCAAACCTCACTTTCTTCAATGCCACTATATTTCCTGTTAATAGATCCCTCGCTTTGTACACATTGCTATAAGTCCCTTGCCCAATCTAATCCATCCAAACATTTTCCAAGAATTACCAAAGGCGATTAAAAGGTAAATGGAAAAGGGTAAATGCGGTTCTTGCTTTGCTTCTCTCGATTTCCTCCTTCTTTTCTTTCTCTCAAATTAGTGTCTAAAATTTGCCCCCACCTGAATTCTGTTTCTGTTTCCGTTTACCTTATCGAGCTTCTCGAAAGTGTTTGCCCGATGAGGAGTCCACTCACCGATGGCTTCACCGGCCACCGCCATTAGCCACGACGGCCACCCACCTTGCTGGGTTGCAAACCACCGGTCGACCCAGGACTGCCAGGCCACCTCTGCATAGAAATCAGCTCTGTGATGTCTGGACTTGTGCTTCGCCGCCGCAACAGTCGACTCCTTACTGGCCCTGGCGGTATGGTTAGCTCCGTCGGAAACGGTAACGGAAGACCCATCGCAAATCATGCCGCCGTCCGCCTCTTTCTCGGCGGTGGTCTTCTTGCTGACGAAACAACCCATTCTCTGGAGCTCAACCGTCTGCCGAGTACATCTTAGACCTCCCAAGAAGGAGAAACCAAGTATCCACCCACCAAACACAGACACAGAATCCCGCTTAGCCGACCCTGAATTCGCCCAAAGTTGCAGCTCAAGACTTGAATTTTAAAATACTAATAACTAATAATAAGAAGACGATGGTATGAAGTCCCGACTGGCGACTAGCTTGCTCCAAAGGTGAAGACAGGAAATTCGGTTGCAGGGAAGCAAGAGAGAGAGTCGAGGGTAAATGGGAAACGAAGAAATGGTTTTAATTCAACTTATGTTTCAGTGGCGTTTAGCTGGCGAGGCGAAGGAGGAAAAGAGTAAGAACAGAGGAAAGTTTACACAAGTCCAAGTTTATTAGAATTTAGAAGAGAAGATAGTTGTACTGGTTCTGTTTACTGGAAATGGATGGAGGAACAAGGGAAAATTAATCCGTTAATTTGAAGATTCGTTAGCTACTAACTGATATCTAAAATACATGAATTAATATCCAAGTACTAAAGTATCTAGAGAACACATACTAGTATTCAAGGGTTGCTAACTGATATCCACCATGAATCAACTATTATCCCAAATTCACAAACTAATATCTAGACAATACAGAATAGTTTCCATACAACACATAATTAGTATCCATATAACACATAAGAGTATCTATATTGAATACTAGTTGGTTGATTGTGGATATTAGTTAGTATATGCTATTTGGATACTAGTTTGTGATGTTTTGAATACTAATTTGTGCTATCTAGATACTTTAGTGAAATCATCTTTGGATACTAGTTCATATATTTATATTTTGGATATTAGTTAGTATATACTAACAACTTATTCAGTTAGCAGAATAACCCTTGACCGAGTCACGAGTGAGTGGAATCGGGGCGGGCGGGTAGAGAAACAAGGAGGGGAGAAGGGCATTAATCACGAAAATGCCACTGGCGGGTGGTGAGTTGTCTCTCTCTTTGTCCTTTGGAATTCAATCAATCTGATATTTACACCGAAAGGGGGGGAAAAGAAAGGTAAAAGGTAAAAATTTTATCGGGTCGGTTGGTAATTTCGGGTTGGGGACTTCGGTTACGGGTTGGGTCTGGCTGATTTCAGGTCAAATATTGACTCAACCCATTCGGTTTCGGACGTGTTACATGTCGTTTCGGGTTATGAGTGTTCTAAGAAACAATATCAAACATGCTTCATATTTTCTTAAAGAACACAAATTTTCACATATGCATGACAATAGTTTACCTAACACATGTCAATTAACATATTCTCAAATCCTCCCACGCTAATGAAACGAAATATAAATAGTGCAAATCGTCAAAAAACAATCACAAGAGTAATACCACTACAAGAAACACATGATATTTGATTATCCGTAAACTCCAAACATGTCATTCAAATCCTTGTGATTTTTTTGAAACATCTCACAAATTTATGAGTGATTTTATCATATTTTGGGAGTGATATATAAAATGGAACGCGTCTAACGGGTCGACCCGCTAACCCACCCAACCCGACCTTAAAAATCACGGGTTATCGGGTTCGGATCATTCAGATTTCGGGTTACAAAAATTTCTAGTTTGCAGGCGGTTTCGGGTTGGGTCAACGGATCAGGTTATAATTTGCCAGGTCTACTTCTGAGCGGCGCGGGACGGGTTAGAAAGGACGCAAAAGAAAAGTTATTGAACTATCAAATCGAAATTCAAACGCCAAAAGTTCTGAAGAGTAAAAAGTTGCTTTCTGGCTCTTGCTTCTCCGGGCAAATACCGGTTCAGGTGCCCTTATTTTGAAAAGCCCGAGGAAGTTCATTTCAAGTAGACCTGGTAATCGGGTCGGGATGGGTAATTTTGGGTCGGGAATCTTGGGTTGCGGGTCTTCACGGGTCGGGTCGGGTCATGATTGGTTTGCTTATTTCGGGTCAAATATGGACCCAACCCATTGAATTTCGGGTTGGGTGTTTGGGTCATTTCGGGTCACGAGCGTTCTCAGAATCAATATCAAACATGCTTCATAAATTAAAAAAAAACAAATTCTACATATGTGTGACAATAGTTTGCCTAGCACATGTCAATTAACAAATGCTCAACTCCTTCCATGCTAATGAAAAGAAATACAAATTGCACAAATTGTCAAAAAAAAAAATGACGAAAGTAATACTACTACAATAAACAAATGATGTTTGATTATCTTTACACTCCAAACTTATCTTTCAAATCCTAATAATTTTTTAAAAAAATCTCACCAAAGTATGAGTGATTTTATCATTTTTAGAGTGACATATTCAATGAAACGGGTCTAGCGGGTCGACCCACAAACCAACCCAACCCAACCCAAAAACTACGGGTTAATCGAATTCGGGTCATTCGGGTTATAAAAACTCAACCCATTCTCTATTTTTTGGGCGGGTTCGGGTCGGGTCCTCATTTGCCAGGTTTAATTTCAAGAAAGATGTTTTTGTCCTTTTGTTGGTTTCATGGTTTGGCTAAAGATTGGTTTGAGAGATTTACGAGGAATATGAGCTAAGGGGTCGTTTGGAAGTTGCGAATGTTAAATCGTTGCATTGTATTGAATCACAACAAAATAAATATATGTATTGGTACAATTGATGCATTTTAATAATACATTGTTAGGTTAATGAGATTCTACTTTATGTATTGACTACCATAAAGTTACTTTATGTGAAAATGTCACATTTATCCTCAACTTTTAGTATAAGAAAAAAAACTAATAAGGATATAAATGGAAAGAAAAAGTGGACATAAATCTAAAATTAACGGGTTAATTGCATGGTTGGTCACTAAGATTACAAAAAACGTCCATGTTTGGTCACTGAAAATATTTAAATTCAATCTTGGTCACTCAAATTAGTTAAATGGTTCTAGTTTGGTCACTCTCCGTCCAACTCCGTTAAATTTGTATGATGTGGCAGTCAACTCTCAAAGTTGACTGTTAACTCGGTGACGTGACAATTAAAAAATAATAAATAAAATAAATTTTAATCTTATACCATTTCCAACTCATTTTCACAATAACCTAAAATAAATAAAACAAAAAAAATTATAATAGTTACAAATTGAAAGGGTAGTTTTCTCCTCCGCCACCACATCCCTTCCCCGCAACCAAACCATCTCCCAATTTCCATCACTAGCTCCGTCCGCTGCTGCCGCCGCCGCTCATAATCACCTGCACTATCGCGAGCAATCGAAGGGTATACTTCACCCTCACCAGACGAATTCCTCCCAGCGAACCAAGACCCTTCTTGTCTCCTCTTCTCTCGACCTTTCCCCTTGTCTTCTTCATCTGTTTGAGACAAATATATATACTTCACCCTCATCTTCTCCCATCACCTCCTTTGACCTATGGAACGAATTGCAGGTGAAATTGCTAAACGAAGCAGCGTAATTGATGGAACCAATTGCAGAACCAAATTGGCAGTGGAAAATGAGGGCATGGGATTATGACGGCTGCGAACCCTCCAAATCTCGTTTCCCTCGACCAAATCCCTTGTTCAGTTAGAGGAATCTGGACCTCGCGGCATGGAACATGACTTCTTCGTCCAAGAACTTCTCGTCCTTACCTCTGTGTAATAAAAAACAGTTGTCGCTGCTTGGATCCTATGACAACGGTCACAGAAGCGGCCGAAGGTCGTATCTATTCCCAGATCCCTTCATCTTGACAGAATAGTGGGTCACAGCAGCGAGGGATGTTGAGCCCTGATTTTGTATATGGAAAGTTCGATGTAGATCCTGGAACGACGACAGAACAGGGGATGATGTTGTTTCGGTCGATTATTTGATGGCCAGTAGTCACCGTAGCTTGGAGATCTCACCTGCGCTGTCGCGAGCAATCGAAGGGTCGTGCAGTAGGCGGAGAGCGGGCTGGGACGGCGGCAGGGGCGGTGCTAGGACGAGGAATTGGAAGCCGATTTGGTTGCGGGGAAGGGATGTGGTGGAGGAGGAGAAAATCTCCTCTTTCAATTTGTGACTATAATAATATTTTTTATTTTACTTTATTGTGAATATGAGTTGGAAATGGTAGAAGATTAAAATTTATTTTATTTATTATTTTTTAATTGCCACGTCATTGAGTTAACGGTCAACTTTGAGGGTTGACTGCCACATCATACAAATTTAATGGAGTTGGACGGAGAGTGACCAAACTTGAACCATTTGACTAATTTGAGTGACCAAGATTAGATTTAAATATTTCCAGTGACCAAACATGAACGTTTTTTGTAATCTCAGTGACCAACCATGCAATTAACCCTAAAATTAACAATCTCAACTTTTAGTTGAGATTGTATAATCCATCATTTTTTTTGTGATTGTTGGGGGGACCTACATAAAACAATGCATGTATTGTTTTACACTTTGATACTTCCAAACATTGTATTGTGGACAATGCATGTATTGAATAAACACAACTCTAACAATCACAACTACCAAACGACCCCTAAAATTCATTATTTGAAATTTTGAGAAAAACTTGGGTGGGACGGCACACCAACAAGGAACGGTTATGTGGTGCATCCGACCAATTCCGCCACACCAAGTGTCCAGCGGCAGATCTAAGACTGGGTAGAGCACTGTGCCATGTTTTGAAAAGAGATAAAATGGGGTGGGTCGTAGCTCGACGAACACTTAAACGATTACCGAAAATAAAAAAATTACAAGTGCTATACAAGCTTTGATCCAGAGGAGGGCTGGGCCGTAGCCCGGGGTGGCCCCACTGGATCCACCGCTGCACGTGTCGATATTAAGCATTCAAAATTAGAACTTAAAAATTCCCTTTCTTTGCGTGTGATGTGGCTGTTGCTTGAGACTAGGCATTCCTCCTCTCGCCGTCGAGTTTCTTTCTACGGCGAGATCGGGACGGACAGCAGCGAATCAAAGGAGTGTTAACTCCGTACCTGTTGTCTTCATCCACCGCCAAGCTCAGATTGACCAGAGTCTGGCGCTTCAACTCGCCGTCACCGATTTTCAATATGATGAGCCAATACTGGTTAAGATGAAAAACTGAACCCTGACTAGGTAGCTGTGTACCGGAAGGTGGAAACTTTAATCGGGATTGCGAAGAGTAATAGATCTCGTCGGCGTATAATTGTTCTACAACCGTGAAGTTTACCGGCTTTGGGAACTGAAATTTCGCGTGGATCAATGGCATTAGGAAGGGACATAAATACGAAAACGCATAAATAAAAGGGGATTTTTAAGTTTTAACTTTAATGCCTAATATTAACACGTGGCGGGATGGGATTGGTCAGGTGCACCACATCACCAATCCTTGTTGGTGCACCCGTCCCATCCAAGTTTTTCTCTTGAAATTTTGGAAAAATTAAATTAGTTATTTTGGTTTATTAATGATGGAGGCACCCACTTTAATCAAGGGTATTTTAGTTAGTCATCTAGGGTGTTAAGATATTATCTTGCAGTGAGACCCCATTGATGCTACACTAGTATAACGGGAATGCTCAACCATTTATGCCTCGACTAATATCAATGTTTGGTTGTTAGATCATCGATACTATAAAATATTGATTATGGCTCAAGAGACCCACACTTAATCATGTGTTATCCTCACTTCTCTTTTCTTCATTGATTAGGTGACAACATGAAGTGAAAGCACGCATTAGCTAGTCAAATTCCTATTGCATGTGGTGAAATCTCGAGAAGGATGACCTTAGTTGAAGCGATAGAGTGATACTATAGATGAATCATCGATGCAGAATATGAATGAGTATTGATGTGTATAATTGAATTTGAGTATGCTTTCTTATTAAAAACGTATTTTACTTTTATTCATCTATATAACTTGAAAACCCCCTAAACATGATTTACTTGCTTGTTTTACTTTGATGCCTAATCAATTAAAACCCCTTAAAAGTCTTTCATATTCTTGTTTGAGTAGGGATGGTATGGTGTGAGTAGGTATACATTAGAAGACCTTGTGGAATAGACCCTAGGACATCACATGACTTTTATCACTTGCATGTATTGCAACATCAATAGTTCTTCGGGGTCGTTTGATTTTGGTGATAGTTAAATTGATGCATTTTCATCAATGCATGCATAATAATATTCATGTATATAAGAAAATTAGTGTATTGTGTAGTTTCCATTATTTGGTTTATGTGATAGTTGTTGTAGTATTTAAACAAGTATATTATTTTTTGGGTGAAATATCATTTTTACCCTTTATTTTTAATATGAAAAAGCAACACACATAAGAAGCTAGGGTCATAGTTGGAAGTTGGAACGGAAAAAAACTCAACAATCCCAACCAAACTATTCCAACAATCTCACAAACAACCTGAGATTTAACTATCACTCATTTTAAGTGATAGTTTGTGCCACATCAAGCAAACAATGCCTTGTGGACAATGCATGCGTTGTAACTATTCCAACCAAAAAACTATCACCAAAACCAAACGACTTCACTTCATCTATCTATCCTGCCCAATTGGGTGTTCTTAGTAGTGAATTGCGACATTTCTGTTGTCGCTGCTAAACATGCCGAGAGATGGCTCTGATATCAAGTTGTAGCGACTGTGCTGTGCTTGTCCTGGATATGTTCTTAACGAATTCTATTAACCAAGAAAGCAATTGATGGGAGAGAGAATAGTTACAAAAGAAGGTGAAGGAATCAGAAGGAGAGAAGAAGGAGGAAGAAGGGAAGGAAAGGAAAGGAACGGGAGAGAAGGGATTGGAAAAAAGTGTATTATGTTATTACAACAGCTCATTCTATTATATAGTCATATGCCAATTACAATGATCCTCCAACTAAATCTTTTTGACACACAAGTCCTAATCATTACAGAAGGCTTCAATTACGAACTCAACATGGGAGAAGATTGAAGAAATGGCCAAATGGGAACTGGGTAGAACAATATAGATAGTTGTTGGCTGGTAGGGGAAAAGTAGGGGAGATGAGCGTTGAGGCAGTTGGGTTCTCGATTTGTCTACTAAGAACAAGGACGATGGTTAAGCATGTAATCACTTCTTTTTATTATTACGAGTACATGTAATCAATTCAGGACCATTACAGAGGGAGGAACGAGGGTGGATGTGAGGAGGTTGTTCCAGAGGGAGGAAGAGATGTGACTTTGAGGGGAATTTGGATCTTAGAAAGAAGGATGAGGACGACGTTGCTTCTGGCTCGGAGAGGAAGAAGAGATGATGCAGAGAGAAGAAGACTAGAAGATGCAGCACCCATCAAATATCGCCCTTCTATCTGACGATATATCTCCAAAAATCCTACTGGCTCCATCAAAAGGCAAAACCCCATCGAGTAACTGAGGATAATTTGAGGAAACTACCAAGCAGGAACAAACTCATCAGTTGATAATGACAGTGGAAACCAGAATCCACCATGAATATAAGACGCGAGCATAGAAAATTTCTTCCTTTCATTCATTCAGAGAGCTACTAGAGAACACGCAATTGATTCAGGCAATCTCTATCCTTGCATGAAGTTGCAAATAAATGGATGGACCATCAAAATAGTTACTCACTTTTCACAGTTCAGGAGTGAATTAAGAGAGATAAGCCTATACATGATATTCATACCCAAATATTGGTGATCTTAACTTAAAAGTTAATACCCCGTCATTTGGAAGCTTGATCTTCAAGAGCAAAGCCTTTCCAGAGCCAAGTTCTCATCCCCACCAACAGCATCCAGTGTACTCCTCGCCAATGCTTCTGGGAATCCCATTTCAACAAGTTTCTGCACCTAAATCCAACAACCAAGCAACATACTGGTAAGGCCAACGATCTAATTTTTCTCTTAAAACGAACAGAACGTGGATCACATAATTTGGTTTATTTTTCCATGAATAACAAGGATTATATTATTGAAATTGTAGGCACCTTTTCCTCAACTCCAAGAGAGGAGACCTTAGCAAAAGTTTCAGTCCAGTAGCGAGCTGTGCCAACAAAGGTCTGGTACTCCTTGAGATACTGCATTTAACAACAGAGACTAATTCAGCATAAGAGGAATTTGAGTAGAGTGTTAGAGCATGGATGGCCTAGAACCGGAAGCAAGCCTAGGAAAGTTGAGAATGAGCAAAGCTATTGCCCGTTAGTCAGGAGCGTGACCTGCTGAGCTACAACTGCATCTTGAGGGTCATCAGGTTCAGGAGAAGAGAGAAGTGCTTGGACTGATAGCAGAGCTGTCTTTAGCGTTAGAGCTGGACTCCATTGGTCTTTCAAGATGTCTAGGCAAATAGCTCCACTCTGACTGCTAATATTTGGGTGCCTTCAGAGATAGCCACAATGTAGCAAAGAATGAAACATCACCATATCAAACAAGATATAATCATTCTCTTCAAACAATTAGCAAAAGAGATACCACAAAACCAGTTCACTTCTTCATAGTGCCACAGCTTGATTCATCATACAAACAAGGTTTCCTGAATACATGCTTAGCAACGGAATGAATGGATAGTCTTAAAGAGAAGAAGCTAACTTAAGCCTCAGCACAAAAATTACAGCAATCAAACAATTCAGGAAGGCTATAAATTCATAACGATCCATTGACCAACAGGAGTACATGACCAAGTTCAACCTCAATAAAGCAACTCTTTTTGGCCATGACAACATCAATCAATTATAATACTCCATCCAGTGCTCACTTTACTAACGCAGAATCAACGTTGGCAGAGAGAATAAGTGACTAGAGAGTTGCCCCTTACCAGACTTTGGTAACGAAATTCATTTTAGGAGGCTCGAATGGGTAGCCATCTGCAAAATAAGGAATTATACGCAGAGGTTCATTCTTTGTAGCTCATTTCACGACACAGTAATACAAAACTGAAGAAAACCCTCTGGCTACCCATAAGGCCACAATCAGTTAGTCTGAAAGTGAAAAACCCTACCACCCAAAAGTGAAATTGGCATCGTTCTTTCCGAAGAACCATAAAATTCCCCTTGGATGGCAGCGGATTTTTAAGAAACCCAGAACGGTGTAGGGCAATGATTAGCATTTCCACGAAGAGGGAAGGGCGAGAAAACCTGGAAGGGAGATGTCAATTTGGAAAGAGCCGCCTTCATAAGGAGTACCCACAGGGCCAGGGATGGTGCCGGTGAGGCGAGCGAGACTGTCGGATTTAGGGGAAACTTTGATGCCGGAGGCTTCCATGTCTCTGGTACATTCCTGGAGCTCCTTCTGAACTCGACCGAAGTCGATCATGTCGCGGCGGAGAGAGAGTCAGACAGAGAAATCGATCAGACGCTTCGTTGCTAACCAGAAAAATCAAACAACGCCGTGAAACAAAAGGGGAAAAGGGGAAGGGTAGAGTGGAGAAGATATGAAGCTAAAGCAGATACAACAGCAGAGAGAAGAAAGAGGAAAATGAAAACAAATTGAAAGAAGTTTTTGGCTCTCTCTCGCACACAAACTTTCAGAAGTCGGAAAAGAATAGATGCTCTTTTTTGGGTGCGCCATCGCCACCGCTTGTGTAAAAAAAAAAACAACCCGCAAATCGATCCACCCATTCAGTTCGATCCGACCTACCCGTATTAATCATCAAAATTAAAGTTTAAAGTTGGGTAAAGGTTTTCTTTTGTACAACCCGCTTCTATTGGGTTGAGTCCGAATTTTGGGTAACACGACCCGTAGAACCGACTCAAGCCGTGTTGAACTATTGTCATAAGTGTTCGTATACACAACACATATTTGTGTCATAAATAAACATATTTGTGAGAAAATTAAGCTATCTTATCATATTTTCTCTTGTGGTTTCTCTAGTCTAATACATTTTTCAACTTAATATTTATCTAAAAAACCAGACATCTGTTGAAGTAAATTGCATTTCATTAAAATCCAAACAATATTTATGCATATTAAAACTTTTTGCCACGATTTATTTGTTTAAATCTTAATTATTTAAATAATATTTTTTTAGTATATAATAGTTTCCTTTTTTGTGTTGGGTTGAATATTTAATTAAAATTATCTCCAACCCGACCCAACTCAATTTTAAACAAACCGTAGGGGTTTTTTTTTTTTTTGGTTGGGTTGGATATAACAATTTCAAAACCATAGTATATGGGTCGGGTGATTAAAATAATCAAACCCGAACCACCTGAACCACCCGACCCATGTACACCCCTAGCCACCGGTATGCTAAACCCTCCCAATGTGGCAGTGCATGGTTGTCAAACCGGTAGGGCGATTCAACCTGAGTCGGTTTCCAAACCAGCTCCCAACACAATTGAATTTTTTTTATTATAAAAAATGCATGTATGCATATTATTTATTCATAGTTTTGAGCATTACAGTCATTAATAATTTGGGGAATAATAAAGATGGGTGGTCGGTCAAACCATATCTCGGTCTCCTCCCATCGGTAGAGAACCCGAACCATCTGATGGGCCACAACATTTCATTCCCTCCCCCAAAATCGCCATCTCACCTCTCCTCCTTCTGCAACCTCCTTTATCTCCTCACAAATTGTTTCAATTTCAAGATTTATCTTCTTCTTTCCCTGCAATTTGAACACAAGACTTCGGGAATCATCTCCATCATCACTAGGAGCAGTTGGTGTTGTTTCACCAGCTTCAACCCCATAGAAAAGTTTGTGCCTCTGTCATTTCTGAGCTCCAGCTGTTCTTGTTCGACACACATCTGCCATGACAAAACCTCCTTCTTCATTCCGAACTACCACTCCATACCTCGTTCCCCCGTCATTCCGTGTGCATGCATCCACATTAGCCTTCAATCCCCCATCTGGTTTCTCCCAGCGGTAACTCCGACTTGATCGTTCCCGCGGAAAATCCGGCCCCTGAGCTTTTCGATACTCCTCCAGGTAATTATGGGCTCTCTCAACTACTTCCCAGTCTTCCAGCTTAGGATTGTTGAACTGGTGGTTGTTTCTTTCCTTCCAAAGGAACCAAATTGTGATTACAAATTCAAATAGCTCTTCATCTTCCGTCTTCTCCAGTAGTTCACATACCCAATCTGCACAGCTTCTTTCCTCTCCCATTTCGAACAGTTGTTTGAGAAAACTAGGTCCCCATATCCGTCCCGCCCAGTCACATTCTCTAGTAGTATGTTCTTGTGTCTCAACTAACCCACAAAACGGACACTCTTCATTCGCTTCATGTATACGCTTTGCTAGATTCTTTCCCGCAGGTAAAAAGTTGTTGCACCATATCCTTAAACACTCGCACTTTCAGTGGGAGTTTCAAATGCCACAGTCTGTTCCAATCAATTGGCTCGTATTGCTTTGGTTGATTATTCATCTGTTTCAGCCTCTACTCATGGTACCCCAGCTTAACCGTATAGAAACCTGTCTTCCCTCTGCCCCAGCACCATTTGTCAGGTTTGGGTCTTACTAGAATGGGGATTGACTTAATCCTCTCCCGATCAATAGGTTGGAAGTGTTGTTATAGTAGTTACTTCGCCATGATTGTGTTGATTGATCAATCAAATCCACCACCCTCGCATTCATCCCTAAACCTGTAACCGAGGTTTGTATTTTAAAATATTCTGCCACTAGTATCCATCTATCCCTCCAAATTCTGATCCTTTTTTCATCTCCCACTCTCCATCTCGTTCCATCCTTCACCAGCCCCTTTGCAGCCATGATGCTCCTCCATATGTAGCTTGGGTTGTTCCCCATCTCAGCCGCCAAAATATTTGTATAAGGATAATACTTTGCTTTTAAAACTCGAGCAACCAGGGTGTTTGGGTTCTGTAGGAGGTTCCAGACCTGTCAACCTAGTAGTGCTAAGTTGAAACCATGGAGGTCTCGAAATCCCATACCCCCTTCCCTCTTTGGCTTTCACAGCTTTTCCCATTTCAACCAATGTATCCTTCTTTCCCCGTTTTTGCTTACCCACTAGAAACCAGATATGATATTATGCATTTCGTTGATCACCCCTTGAGGGGTTAGAAATACAAACATATAGTACATTGCCTGAGCTTGAGCAATGGCTTTGATCTTATGCTCTTTGGCAGCATTCGTAAGTAACTTTCTCTTCCACAATTTTACTGTTTTCCTCACCTTGTCAATGAGTTGGGTGAAAACTGCTTTTTTCGACCTGCCAATATCCGTTGGTAGGCCCAAATATTTGTCATGTTGTAGAACATGCTTCATTTCCAATAAATTGGCCATTTCTTCTCTTTGTGCTACATCTACATTATTGCTGAAAGTAGCTCTGACTTTACCCAACTGACTTGCTGACCTCACTCGGATGCATAAGTATCCAGGATCCATTTCAGATTCTCCCCTTCCTGTTTTTTGTTCTCAAAGAAAAATATGGTTGTCGTACGTGAACAACAAATGTGTGATCATTGGGGCGTCTTTGCTGACCTTTATTCCATGGAGTCTTCCTTCTTGAACTGCCTTTTCTGTTAGAGAAGATAGACCTTCTGCACACAATAGAAAAAAATTTAGTGATAGTGGATCACCTTGCCTGATTCCTATTGTTGGGTAAATTACTTCTGTCTGGTGTCCATTTACTAGGGCCGCATATGTCACTGTAGTCACGCACTGCATCATAACATCAACCCAACCTTGTGCAAATCCCATTTTCTTCATAACCTTTGCCAGAATGTTCCAATCGACACAATCATAAGCTTTTGCTATGTCTAGCTTAGCTGCCACAAATCCTTTCTTCCCTTCTGTTCGAGTTTTCATAGCATGGAAACATTCAAAAGCTAGCATGATATTATCCGTAATCAGTCTTCCAGACACAAAAGCATCCGAGTTTCATGGATCACAACATTTAGTACTTTCTTGAGTCTATTTGCCATCATCTTTTGAGAAGATTTTGTAAATTACTCTGCAGAGGCTGATAGGCCGAAAATCCTTTGGACTTGTTGGTTGTTTCACCTTTAGGATTAGAGCTATTAGAGTTTGATTTATCTCCCGTGGTATAACTCTTTCCTGGAACCATTTTTGAAGTTCTTCCACTACCAATGGGCCCACTGTCCCCTAGTTTTTCTGAAAGAAGAGAGTTGGAAGGCCGTCCACTCTAGGAGCTTTCAAAGGAGCCATTAGTTTCAAATCAGACCATGCTTCTTCCGCATCTATAGGTTTGAGAAGTTCTTTGTTATTTCCTCGGATATTTTCATTAGTATGGCATCTAGGACAAAGTGAGTAGTGGGTTCCGGTCCTGCCAAGAAGAGGTTTTGTAGATAATTGGTCACACAAAGCGAGGCAGCTTGCTGACACCTGTACACCTGCCCTTCCTCTCATGCAACTCCACAATAGTGTTTCTCCTTTGCCTGATTGTAGCTTTTTGGTGAAAGAACTTAGTGTTTCATCCCCCTTCTTTAGCCAGTCATTCCTTGAACGTTGTTTCCAAATAATTTCTTTTTGATGCAACAACTCATTAAACTCTAGGTCCAGGAAATTCCTTTGTAGTATCAGTGTTTTATTCTTTTTTTTTGTTTGGCTATCTTCTCTAGTATTTTCTCAGTCTTCTTTTTTCTCCTCCTTATGTCTCCAAACGTGGCTTTGCTCCACTTCGTGAGTTGTTTCTCACAACCTTTGATTCTAGCCTCGATTCCCAGACTAGGGTCCTTATTCCATTCCTGAGCAATTAGAGGTGAACAATCCTCATGCTTTTGCCAAAAAGACTCAAACCAAAAGTGTCTTCCCCATTGAATCCGATAATCTTCCAAATGAAGTTGTAATCTAATTGGGAGATGATTTGATACCCCACCTGGTAAATGGTAAACTTGAGCATCCTTATACCTGCTTCGCCAATCATAGTTTGCTACCATTCGTCAAGTCTTTCTTCAAGAAAACCATCATCCTCTCAGCTGTTATCCCAAGTAAAAATATTTTCATTGTAACCCAAATCTTCCAATCCACACTCAACCAAAGCCTCCCTAAAGCCTTCCATGCTCTGTTCATCGGGTAATTTGGCGCCATTCTTCTCTTCATAACCCAAGACTTGGTTGAAATCACCAATCATGAGCCATGGAAGATCACTATACAGCTTAAGTCTTCTCATCAACTCCCATGTCCTTTTCTTATTGCCTTACTCTGGCCAGCCATATAGTCCGGTTAATCTCCATGCTTTATCTGGATTTTGTTCGTCTATTGCTACATCAATATAATTCTCATCAAAATCCTTCACTGTTACCTTGACGTGCTCCTTCCACATTAGCAACAATCCCCCTGCTCGCTTCCTTGATCGCTCTTTTCCCATCCCATTTTCTCTAGTAACTCCTCCCATTCAGTCTCCTACTTCTTTGTCTCCATTAAGAAGACAATGTCGGGGCCTGCTCTTTGAGTAGCTCAGCTACCCTCTTCACTGTTGTGGTTTTCCCAACCCACGACAGTTATAGCTTATGATACTCATTGGGCTGGGCGTCCTTGTGTGTTCACTGTTGTGGTTTTCACAACCCTCTTCACTGTTGTGGTTTTCCCAACCCACGACAGTTATAGCTAATGATACTCACTGTCGTGGTTCTCCTTTTTCATTTACAATGGATCATGTTAGATGTATTTCATATTAAATAATACTATTTTTCAATTTATTTTTTATAATGATATAAATAAAAGAAAATTGTGTTTTATAGAAAAAGAATAATATATAGTAAGAACAATTTTGTATTTTCAAATCGAAACTTCTGCTTTCAAGTTACGAAAAACTTCGGGTTTTAAAAAGAGAAACTTTAGAGGTCTTTGGCTTGGCTTCAACTTTTGAAACATAAAATTTTTAAAATTCGGGCCAAACATAATCGTACTCTTTTGTTTTTGTTTGTTTTTGTTTGAGGTAATCGTGGTTCTCCTTTATGAAATGTTTGACTGATTGCAGGTTTGAGTAGGGGTGTTCAAACGGTTTGGTAACCGCTTTAACCGGTACTATTTGGATGATTTTGTTTGGTTAATTTGGATAATTGGTTTGGTTTGGTTAAAGTTTTTAGCTTGTTTGGTTTGGTTTCAGACACTCCTAACCAGTCAAACCAAATTAACCAGTTAAGTAATTAGTCATATATCTAACATATATTATATACACATACTTAATACTTTGCATAACCACTCAAGAGTTAACGTTCATCCCTTTTATACTCATAAAATATAAAGCTCAATATTGCTCATATAGTGTATATTTGTATATGTAAAGTGTAGACCACAACATATGGACGTCTAATTTAGAGTCTAGACCACGACATATGGACGCTCAATATAAAGCTCAATATTGCTCATATAGTGTATATTTGTATATGTAAATTGTAGACCACAACATATGGACGCCTAATTTAGATAAATTTCATTCATTATGATGGATGAAAACTTGAAAGGAAGGTCATTTCCAGCCTATGATAATTGCTAAGAGACTAAGTCAATTTACACAACACAACAATTCATTAACCCATACCATTGTCATAAATTTTTGTTAGGTGAATACTTCTATACTAATCATAAGATAATTGTCTTAGTTGCATGTATTTTTGTTAAGGGTCAACTATAACTACGTGTTGATTGTTATGCTTTATTCATTATATAAATTAGGGCTAATACCACAGGGAAACCCGAACTATCAACTTTGTGTCATTTGTGTCCTAAAGTATTCGATATGACATTTGTGTCACAACGTATGATAGTTGTGTGTCATTTATGTCCTGACGATTTCGTTGACCGTTATAGATAACGGTTGACCAAACGGAAGTCAACATTAACATTGATTTTTGGTGAAAATAACGATCAATAGCTTAAACATTTGGAAAAGTAAATGGATTTGACACTAATTGAGAAGGCTTCACTCGGGTGTTGCTCCCCCTAGCTAACAATTATGACTTGTCGAATCGGATGGTCATGTGTGGTAAGGTGGTTGTAAATCGCAGGGAAGTGCAACAAGTAGCCAAACACCACTCTCATGATATCTAGGTCGAGGGAATTCGATTCAAGCCACTAACGTGACTCTCCCGACCTATTGAATAATGGTCGCCAAGACTTCACCCTCGAATCGGAGTTCAGACGACCACCCACAACCAAACCCTAGGTGCTAATACGAACTAAGAGGGTTGCCCTACATTAACCTAGATATGAGACAATGAATTGTCTAAGAAAACCCAGCTTTGTAAAACTCTTTCAAATAAGGGGGGGGGGGGATTCTCTCTACCCAGGTTAGAATGACAATTAGATTGATAGGCTTTCACACAACACAATCATTCATGAATTATACCTCCATATTCACATTAAACACGACCACAAACAAATCATTCAATCCATACAAGCATTCACATAATTGTAGCTAGGGTTTACAAACACCCAGTGAAAGAAGGGACTACTCCGTGCTAGGAGAAGGGAAAACAAGAGAGAAGAAGGAAAACCATCAATGAGATGCTATCCTTGCTCCTTGTGTTGAAGAGATCCTCCTTTGGGGGAGGAATTCCCAAATCCTTGCTTGAATATGAAACCCTAGCTTCTCCTCTTCTTTGGTTCGTCACTTTCTCACTTTAGAAATCTGAAGAAGAAGAAGAAGTTTCTCACACTAGGTCTTTCTTCCTTTTCCCTTTAGGTCAACCTCCTTTATATACCCAGATCGGGCTCAAATCACGGTCCCAGTTCACGGTCGTGAACTGAAAGCCCGGAGCGTGATCTCAAGTCGAAACGCGCCGCATCACTAAGTCCAGTTCACGGGCAATGGCCTGAGTTCACGGTTTTACGACCGTGAACTGACTTGTGTCTAGTGAAAGCAATTTGTGCTCTGAATGCTTGGCTGTTCACGAGTAGCACCTCCAATTATTGGTCTTAGTGACCGTGAACACATAGCCCAAACCGTGATCTGCTGCTACTTCCACCCTTTGTCTTGATTTTTCTCCCTTTCGTCCAACTTTCGACTCCGGGGTTGGTTCCACCTGCCAAAGTCTGAAAACACCAAAACAAATCAAAACCCGACGTAAAACCAAACCTCCCGGAGTAAAAATGCTTCAAACGACTAAGCAAATCGGGGGTAAAAAGTGTACAAATGAACCCGAACCAGACACCACCATCGCAAAACCTTCCCCTGCCCTCTAGCTCTAGGAAATCTAACACTGTCGTAATGAACCCTTCTTAGCACCATGAATAGGTGTCCCTCGTCGTTGAGCCCAAGCCACTGCAGAACTCGTCGCGGGCGACGCATAGTTGGTGAAGTGACAGGCTCGGGAGATTGGCCATGTCGTCTTGAGTGAGATGAAAATTAATGGCAGGTTCGGCGGTCGTAAATGGTGAGGTCAATTTATCAGCGACAGTTACTCAAAACTCGAACCATATACACAAACAAAGCGATTATGATTGGGTGATTAGGGATTTCTCCATGAAAAGATTAGGGTTCCTAGATTGGGGATTTCTAAATCCACCACCGTCAAGACCTTTTGAATGGCCACCTTCGTCGTTAAAGAAGGCCGATGGCAGCGCCAACCTCCCCCCTGCTTCCTCTCGGCTCTCGTCACCGGCTGCCTTCGATGCTTCTTGCCTCCCTTTGCTCCTTCTCGTCGACGGGGAAGTAGAGGACATTGTAGTCCTTATAGCCTTCTTGTATCTTATAGTCTTTTCTTATGATAATCAGTCTCAAATTTGTTCGATTCGATTTAGATAATTTATTTCATAATTAATAGAATTAAAATGGAATTACTTTGATAATTACTAATTACATGATAAAAATTTGAACACAACACCCCTACAAATCAACTCACCAGCTATAAGATACACGCAGTTCTTAGAGACCAGTGATGGGGCGGTAAACTAGATTTCTGTTTCTTGAAAGGAGGCCTGGATCATCCTATCAACAACGCAAGGTTAGTAGCTAAGCAACGAAAAGTTAAAACGTTATGAAAAAAGCTCTGTTACTGGTACAGTTTCAGTAGTAGAAGATGAATACAGAATAAAAATGGTTTTAGCCGCCTCCTACACACAAAGACCATAGTTGTGTTAATGTCTGCAGACGGCGAGCTTCTATCAGAATTACATGTTGATAATACTCTAATGATTTATCTCCACCTACCTACTTCTGCCTGTTTCAGTCTCTCCAGCAATAACAAAACCGTAAGATCAACTGACTTTGCTTCTGCGCTTGACATTCATAACATCGTATAGTAATCAAAGAATAACTTGGCAACATCAAATAGCTGGTTCCTTGCAAAAATGCTTCATCTGCGTTTTGGAATTTCAGCCCATAGGGAATGTACAGAGCATACCATGCCCAGGGTTGTGCTCCAGAGGGTACAATGTTGTGCCTTTTATTGACTTCTGATGATCAATAGCAGCTTTTCTCAGACTAGAAACAGCTGTTGGTGGCCTCCTAACTTGTTTCTTTATTTCACATGCTCTCAGTGGGTCTTCCGAGCCTGCTCCAACCCTCCTACAAAGACAAATAGAGCATATGGATGCGCACATACAGAATGATAAATATGCTAATCAATAAGTACACTATTAGGAACCCTGTAACATTTCCTCTTTAAGAGGTTTATGCAGTTTGAAAGTTAAGCCTAATGTGACAAGCATTGAGTTCTAATCGCTAGAACTTGTTCAACTGAATACAAAGTACTTAGTACAAGATATTGTTGGCCAGACTTCAATTTTATCAAGTTGCAGCCACATACTGATGAAATTTCATGATAATTAATGGTGGTAGAGTTCTGTCAAAGGATATAATACACTTCAGTCAAGAAAAGAACAACTACTATTGCATCACCTCAATATTTTCTCTGACACAGTTCTAGCAGCAAGAATAGTACTCTGGCTTGGAACCCATTTTACAACACGGTTGGGATCAGCTCGCATGGGAGAGTGAATCTTGATAAGCTGTAAAATATAGAGGCAGTCTAGGTTATCAAGTGTTGAAAAAATAATTTTCCTCCCAAAAATGATAATTGGGGGAGTCGAAAGGGAACTTACACCGAGACACTCCATCATCTGGTAGTAAGCCCTCCCATGGAGAGGAGTGTGACCCTTCCGAGATTCCGAAAAATATCTAGTCCTGAAAGAAATTTTGAAGTAACTTCAGGCAAAAACATCAAACTTACTAGTTTGGTTCCAATAAAAGGTGATGACTATTAATCCCCTCGTATACCATTCTTTGTATCCCGGATCTACAGTGAAACCATACATGTCAACCGATTCACACATAGATAGAGCAAATTCAAGGGCTTTCAGTCCAGTGCCTTTAGCTGCTGACCCAAAAGATGCACCTAACATAAGGTAGACAGCATTTCTTATTGGAACTTCCTGCAGAGGGCAGTACAGAAATGTATCAGTAAAAGGCAAGTGAAACTATGAGGTAAGCAGCAATAGCAACATATATACATTTCTAGGCAGACACTGGGAATAAAATGTTACCAGATGCATTTCTTGTGAACTTACCTGAATCATCTGGTTCATAATGTCATGTATTGTCGTTTTGATGATCAACACCTCCTTCCTCGACTCTGCCAAACTCATAGGATCAGGACTGCCAAGAGTATCGAGTGCATTGAAAGAAAACGTAGAAAATGGACAGATGCACACACCATCTAACTCCACAACTTTATCAAGAGCCTTAGCAGATCCCCTGTTAAGTAGGCGGAAGGTACTTTTCTTACCCACATATTCTGTATAGTTCTGCAAAACCAATTGCAACAAGAGGTTGAGAAGATCCCTAACGCAGAAAACATACAGCTGAAATTGATATAAATGGCGACCCTTCACCTGAATCGGAGCACCATTTTCTCTGATGACAACATCATAACCATCAATTTCTTTCCCAAACCTTGTTTTCAAAAGATCACCTGAATTACCAATAACAGCACAACTGCCAAACTCTTTGGGAAGGTAAGGTGGTGTTTCAGGTAACACCAATTTGAGCTTCTCCATACATAAAGTTTTATTCTGACATCTGTTGCTGCATTTCAAAGAGCATTGACATCAAACTGCCAGTCATAACAAGGTCAATTCGTATACGAGGAAATAACGTGAGCTCAAAGACAAGTCCTCAGGGTGACTACATACAGCTGAATTCCTTTATTGATCCGACGCCATGCGTAGTCCTCCCATCCATTTGGCAGAGCATCTATGAATTCCTTTGTCAGTATGGTAGTACTGTTCCTAACCTGTCAATTAACTCACTAAATAATAAATCAATTGCAAAGCAGAGTCCAAGCAAAATTGAGGTCGCAAGCCACAAATTTAAATAGTCTACTATCTGTAACAACAGGCTCACCTGCTCCCAATTTGCCACTGCTTCACATAGATTGAACTCAAAGGACAAACCTTCGGGTTCTCCGGTTTTAGGGTCCTTCTGTTAAAACAGAAGCAAATTCACAAACCATCAGTAGGTATTATTTACCGCTCTTCCCCATAATAAATTAAGAATGCAGGATATGATTTCGCACCCATTTAGAGTTGGTGTTGCTTGGAAAATTAATGGTGACCATGCAGTAATCGTTCCCGGGGAAAGCCTGAAGACCTAATCCATTAGCATTCTGACAAGTCGCCACCAAAGAAGTTGAGATGAGGAGTAAACACTCAGCTGAAGAATCTAGACAAGCATCCAAGAAACTAAAAAAATATCAAGAGGGTTTAGAAGAAAATGCCACTTATACCACGCACTTCTTGAAACTTGCTTGCAGAGATTGCAACGCTCCAACTTCTTCACTGGACAGTCTCTGGATCCCATCTGAAGCACATTACCAAGTCAAAATCGTTGTAAAACGAGAAAGAGAGAAGCTTTGCCACGAAAGGTAATTTCAGAAAACTGAAATCGAACTGGTCGACAATGCATGGAAGAAAGGAGAGAAGATGGTTACCGAAATTGGTGACGCCGTTGATGTAGATGAGAATGGCAGAGAGTCCAGACGCCAAAGCGACCAAGAACCCAATCTGCAGAAGCCTCATTTTCCGGATCAATCTGGAGGGTTGCACGAGAATTGCTCTCCGAGCCTTTCCGCCGGTGGATTTGTTAGGATCTGAGAGGAAAGAGCGATCCAGCAAAGCGAAACCGCGAAAGAGAAGCAAAGGAGCTACTTAGTAACGATCAGAGAGACAGTTGATCGAGCTGCCGAAGAAGAAGCGAAGACCACAAAAGCGGCGCCGTGTACACTAGCATGAGAGTGATTAATGGGCCGGGAAGAAGTTTTATTTATCGGGCCGGTGGAGCTAGCGGGGCCTATTATTCGGTCTACCCACCATATACTAAGTGCTTTAGCCGAGTGGAGAGGCCTATGAAAGCTTTGCGCCGAGTGGAGAATTTTGAAACGAGTGAATTTAAGTGAGCCCGCTTGGCCCGATGTTTTTTTTATCCAAGATAAGCCTTCAGGGCATGGCTGGACAACAAATATATAAGAAAGACAACAATAAAGAACGGTAGTCCGTATGCAACCGGACTCCCGATGAAAGAGCCTTTTATACCACAAGATGGGCAGCTCTGAGAAAGCTCAGAAGAGCAAAAAGACACGAAACTGATTGAGGAAGAGAGAAAGAAGAGAGTACTTCCCCATGAATACCCCGTCTGAGAGGAATAGGCATTGTAATTGCATCCAAATATTAAAGCGAAGGTAAGATCCCTGCAATAATACAAACAAAATAGCACATATATGGAAATACCAAAAACTATCACAAGATACAGAAACGAAGACAAGATCAAACTTACTAGATACAACAACCAAATATGTTGTACAAAATGAATAAAGTAAACGACAGATCGGCCGATTACAACAACCAAATATAGTAGAGAGCAAACTTTCCGGAGTACCAAAAAGCCTCCCATCTCAATTATTGATAAGCCAAATAAATGACAAAAAAAAGATCACATCAGGCTAACAACAACTCAAACCTAAGAAAAAGAACACACGGAGAATATTAAAACACACACCCAAAGTAAAAAAAACCCAACCCGAAAAACCTTACCCCGAGAAACTAAACGGACACTAGTAATCATTAATCAAATAAAAGTTAAACCCAAAATGAAAGAAATAATAAATGACTGAAAGCAAGAAAATTAATCTAAAAAAATAAAATACAAAGACAGGCCAAAGTCAAAAGTTACACTACTCTAAAAAATAAAAAAGAAGTTAAAGAACACATTTTGAATAGGGGGAAACATTAAACGTTAAAATGAAAGGGGGAGCATTAGTGCCACTAATGCAACAAAAGCAGGAAAGTAATGAAAGTCAACATTGAATACAAAGGAAATTCAATTACAAAAATAAGCAATTAATAACGGAGGAGAGAGAGATTAATGCAGTTTAACCGATAAAGCTCAAATTTGAGCTGTAAGGAGCAAATAAGGGAAGAATAATCAATTACCCGTTGCAAAATAGGGAAAGCGGAATGTTAAACGTAAAATCCGTGCTGTAAAATATCGTAAAGCGGAAGCACACAACACAACGATTTAACGTGGTTTCCCCGTTCGATATGAACGAGACTATTCCACGGAGAGCGAACGTTCTCAGCTGATCTATTATTACTGCCGCAAGCTAGCTTCTGCAGTCTTAGGTTTTGGGAAAAACAAAACACCACTAATATACCCTTCACGTAGAGAGCTAGGGCAATTAGTACAAAATGGCAAATAAGTCCTCCAATAATAAAATATGTACAAGACGGTCCAACACCCCCCTCAAGCTGGAGCATGAAGATCACGAATGCCAAGGTTGGATAAGAGGAAATGGAACTGATCAGCACCCAGAGCCTTGGTGAATAAATCGGCGAGCTGAGAAGAAGTGTTAATCTTCTGGGGAACAATCTCGTGAGAGACTACTCGCTCACGAACAAAGTGACAATCCATCTCGACATGCTTCGTTCTCTCATGGAAAACCGGATTAGCAGCAATGTGAAGGGCTGCCTGGTTGTCACAGTGGAGTGGCGTCGGGTGAGACTGTGGCGCTCCAAGCTCTGCAAGCAAAAAATGCAACCACAAAACCTCACTTACAATGCTGGCCATCGCGCGGTATTCCGCTTCGGCTGAAGAGCGAGAAACCACCTTTTGCTTCTTTGTCCTCCAGGAGACTGGTGCACCACCTAGCACCACATAATAACCTGTCGTAGAACGCCGGGTCAGCTGACAACTGCCCCAATCAGCATCACAGTATGCGGTGAGTTCGAGCGTGCCTTCTGCCGGAAAGAACAAACCCTGACCGGGGGAAGTCTTCAAGTAAAGCAAGACACGCATGGCTGCATTCATGTGCTCCGGGCTAGGGCGACTAACGAATTGCGAGAGTATGTTGACAACATAGGAAATGTCAGGCCTAGTGACTCTCAAGTAGAGCAAACGGCCCACGAGTCGACGGTAAGCAGAGATGTCATCAATCACGGCATCCGTTGGGCGCGTGAGACCGTGATTCTGTTCCATGGGAAATCTGCTCGGGCGCGGCCCTGCAACATCGGCGTCGGTCAAAATATCCAGAGTATACTTTCTCTGACTTAGGACGATGCCATCATCAGATCGTGCAACTTCTATCCCAAGGAAATACTTCAGGGCACCCAAGTCTTTTATGCTGAACCTCTCGTCAAGGAAAGCCTTGACTTTAGCAATGAAGTCTTGATCGGTTCCTGTCAAAATAACATCATCAACATATATTAATGCAGCAACAAATATGTCCTTACGCTTATATATGAGAAGCGAATGATCAGTTTTAGAAGGCTTGAAACCGAGCTCCGCTTGTGCCGATGTGAACTTCTGATACCAATTTCGCGAAGCCTGTCGCAAACCGTACAAGGACTTGCGAAGCCGACACACCCTCGTGTCACCGGGCTCGCCAAAACCAGGAGGCATCTTCATATAAACTTCCTCCTCGAGATCGCCGTGTAAAAAGGCGTTATTGACGCCCAGTTGATGTAACGGCCATCCGCGAATAGCTGCAACAACAATGAGCACGCGAACCTTAACAATTTTAGCAACTGGAGCGAAGGTATCGTGAAATTCGATGCCTTCCAACTGAGTGAACCCCTTTGCAACAAGTCGGGCCTTAAAATGCTCGACAGAACCGTCAGGTCGGTACTTGACCTTAAACACCCACTTAGCATCAATTGCTTTCTTTCCGGGTGGCAAGAAAGTCAACTCCCATGTCCCGTTTGCCTCAAGGGCTGTGACCTCCCCCTGCATTGCCGCCCGCCAGCGAGCATCCCTCTTGGCCTGGGAGAAGTGTTTGGGTTCAACTATCTTCTCAATGGCAGCAAGATAAGCCTTGTGCTCTGGTGAGAATCGGTGATAGCTGACTTGGTTAGACATAGGATAGTGAACTATCGAAGCCTTCGCTAAGGCGCCTGCCAACTCAGTGTCGTACAGGTTGACCAAATGTGGTGGAGGGCGCCGGTTACGAGTTTCGTGCCTCAAAAGAGGATCAGAGGGCTCATCGGGACTCGCGCTAGCAGGTAAGCTATCATCCCCCCTCGTCTCGGTGTCCTCATGATGATCAACGTCAGGCTCATTGATGTCATCGTGGTCCGCGTGCATAGTGGGCATGTCCGGCAAGGATTCCTCACAAGCATCATCAAGGCCAACGATCGGGTGCTCCTGGCGAGGCGAGTTGGTCACCATGTCAGCGACCTTGTATGGAAACTGGTCCTCTACGAAGTGAACATCACGAGATGTGATGATCTTTTGAGCACGAATATCATAAACTCGATACCCTTTCTGTGGCCCAGGGTACCCAACAAATATGCCACGCCTCCCCCTGTCATCAAACTTGTCTAGGTGAGAACTAGTGTCTTTTGTGTAAGCCAAACACCCAAAGGCGTGTAAATGCTGATAGGTTGGTGCCCGTCCAAGTAAAACTTTGTAAGGGTTGCGGTTCCCAAGGATCTTTGACGGCATTCTGTTAATCAAGTAGGTTGCCGTCAGTACACACTCTCCCCAAAAACAAACTGGAAGACCGGAATGGAAACGAAGAGATCTCGCCGTCTCAAGCAAGTGGCGATGTTTCCGTTCTGCTACTCCATTTTGCTGGGGTGTATTGACACATGAAGTCTGCAGAACGATTCCTTGCAGTTCATAATATTCGCGCAATCCCTTAGTCTGAAACTCCAAACCGTTGTCAGCCTGAATGCGACGAACCTGACTAGCAAACTGAGTCTTAACCATCTGACAGAAGAGGCGCACATAGCGATCGACGTCTGACTTAAACCTGAGAAGGTAAACCCATGTTGCTCGGCTAAAATCATCAACAATAGTCAAAAAATATCGAGAGCCATCAAGAGACGGGGTTCGATAACCACCCCAGATATCCATGTGAACCATATCAAAACAAGCTTGCGTCTTAATAGTATGTGAAACAAATGGTTCTCTAGTGAGTTTAGCACGAAGACAAGAATCACAATGCTCCTTCTTGGAAATAGAATCCGACAAAGAAATAGTGTTCTGCACAATGCTAAATTTCCCAAAAGATGGGTGTTCGAGTCTCATATGCCACGTCCTCGTCGATGCTTTGCTAGCAGCCCCAGCAAACACCGTAGAAGAACCTCCACCACCGCGATGTTGCTCCCCCTCTCGCCGAAGGTAGTACAACCCATCATGAAGACGACCCCGTCCAATCGTAGTCTTGGAGCGTGAGTCCTGAATAAGGCATAGATCATCCAAGAAAACCAAAGCCACGCCGTTATCCTTGGCCAAACGACTAACCGAAAGCAGATTGCACTTAAAATTTGGGACATAAAGAACCCGTTCAAGACGCAAACGACCATTCAGAGTGACTAAGCCAATCCCTTCAACCGGTATACTCGTCCCATCTGGGATGCGAACCGGAGGGTGATGACCTCTAGTTTGTAACTGATCCAACCAACTAGAATCACGTACTATGTGTTCATTACAACCCGAATCAATGAGCCATTCACGCAGTTTAGAAGAATTACCAACCATGTGAGCGGTGGGGGTCGGCGCAGGAGCCTGTGCGGAGTCCAACAAGAGCTTCAGTTGAGCAAACTGAGCTGTAGACAAGCCTGGAACTGGGCTGTTCTCACTCTCCACATTGGCTGCCCGAGGCTGCAGCTTCCCATTAGGTTTGGTTCTCTTCGCACCTGGTCCTCGCTCACTCTGGCGCCCTTTTCCCTGATCAT